AATATCCCAGAGGCAGGAGAAGGAAAAATGGGTAAATGTACCAGTTCATAAGTGTTATTAAAGAGAAAACTAATTCTTCTCTCTTTTTGTTGAAAGCAGTTTTCTTGTTTCCACAGCTTGATGTTTTCCATGGTCTTTGCTAACACCGTTCAGAGGACAACATGAGAAGCTGGTGGCAGGCGCCCGTCAGAAGGGAGTGCAGGCTGTTTGGGCATCACGTGCCTTGTTGCAGATGGACAACGCCTCATCAGCAACACCAGGACGTGTCTTGGAGGAGGATCAGGTGTTCACTTTGGTTGAAAAAAAAAAATGCAAGCAAGATCTGAGTGCAAAGTGACTTTTGGAACACAAAAGCTGCCTGATAGGGCACAACTGACTGTCCTATGTCAAGTGTCGGGCATGCTACCACAGGAAAACCATCCCAGTGGTACCTAAAGGATGTCAGATTAGAATTGTGTGGAAACCCCACTGTGTAACATTGTATAAGAACGGTACATGCTAAACCAGATGAAAGAGAGAAAAAAAAAGGAGAACGAAGTTTGATTTTTACTGCCAATTAAGGAGAAGGAGGAGACGTGCTTTGTTGGCAGTTACCCAAGTTGGAGTCTGGATACCATCAGTTGTCATGACTCAAGAAGAAACGGTCAAAATACTGATCAAAGAAATAAACTTGCAGCCGAAGATGTGGGGGAGCACAGAAGAAGTGCTCTCCAACATAATTGAAGCTTTGAACTTGTTTTCCTGTGTACTTTGCAATTTTTCCATGCACAGCTGTAGGAGGAGCGCTGCCAGAGGGTGGTTACTACATCGAATCATCATGAGTGGAAGAGATTATGGAACATTTCCAGTTCCTACTGGGTAGTTGTAAAACCTGAATTGACAAAATGTAATGAAGGCAACCACAGTTATGCAAATATCACATTTTGCCTTTAATAACTGTACAAGGACACTGGTTTAAAAAAAAAAATAAAAGTACAGGGTGAGTGGTTTGAGCCACAGACAAATCTCACATATAACATGCAATTATGTGAGACAGCTGATAAAGGAGTGATATGTATGTTGAAACTAATCATGTTAACCCATGTTTAACCAGAGACAAGGTATTGTGTGATTGGACTCATGAACTAGGCTAGAGAGCTAGTTTGATAGTAACAATAAAAGTCATATGGTGTACATCTGTGGACTTGGAACAACCAGACTTATCAATTAACTAATTCACCACTCGCACGTACCCTGGCGAGTCTCCCTAGACCGTTTCAAAATGCGCATTGAAATGGGTCTACAGAGCTGAAACGAATGATTGAATCTCATAAGTCTAAACGTGTCTGATCTAACAGTGTCCACCTGCATGGCTCAAAGAAAGGTTTTTACATGTGGCTAAAACCAATAATGTAGGCGTCGGCTCACCATTGGTGGGATATATTTGCAGGAATATTATCTACGGCGCAAAATATATGCAGTATCTCTTTTGCTTGTTTAGTGAAAAAAAAAAAAGAATAACTAGTTTGATCTATGTATCTCTGTATTAACTTTGTGTATTTTGGGAACTTGTTTAGGGTTTAAAAAAAAAAGAATTAATCAGGAAATTTATAATACAGCTTGGTACATGGTTTGGTAGGGAAAAAACTATAATCTGAACACCTACCAGGTGTTTTGATTTACAATGATTGTGTCAGTGGGAATGTAATAAATCAAACGTTCCAGGGGTTTGAAACTCATCTGGATTTTCTTAACTGTGTGAGTGAGTTTATTTAGGATAAAGTCCAGAACAATTTCAATTTCAGGAGAGTGATTTTATGTTTTACATGCCATAAAGGCAAAAGGGTGGAATGATATAAAAATATGTTTTATAAAAATACATTAAGTTGCCTTTATGCCTATTCAAACATATATATTGTGTGTGTGTGTGTTACTTTTCAGAATTAAATGTCTAAATTGCCATAAAAGGCAAGGGTGGAATGATATAGGAATGATTATTTTGATGCTTTTATGTCAATTAATACTTATACTCACTTTTGATGCAGCTTATCTGCCCAAAGTCAGGCCTGTGCTGCAGATGTGTTTTGGAGTAATTAAAGTTCTCTGGGGGATGCTCTAACCAGAAGACCTGGCCCAATCTTAAGGTTACGGTGACCCAGATTTTGAAGGACATGTTTTTATGAAGTCATCGCTCTGTTGCACAGACTGCTTTGATGATGGAAAAACAGATTTAATTAAATCTGTCCTGGCAACCATCAAACTTGTTTTCATCTACTCTCATGCGATCCGGTCGGGAAGGGGTATTTAAGGAGCACAAATACTGTGACAAAGTTGAAGTCTTGTGTGGACCAGCGCGCGGTACCATGCAGTTGTGATGTGAGTTCTGTCATTGGATCGAAAGGCTTCCC